AACCCAGAAGCCTCAGCTCAACAACATCACAACAGCCGTGTCTATTCAGAGCCTCACCTGAAGGTCAATACACTGACGGCTTTAATGTGTCCATTGTTAAAAAAATAAATAAAAAATGACCTGCTTTTTTCGGTGCCTGCGCAAAGTTGGTGTTTATTCATGACTCATTGTACTCCGCCGCGCAGGAGCGGCCGCGTTACAATGGTTCTGGGCCAAATGTGTCACATTATCTGCAGTTATGTGATGATTTGGCAAAAGGCTGTTTGTCTCCAGCAGTTTACTTTTCTGCTTTCCTGTGGCTGAACAAGCGATTCTCTGAATGAGCAAAAGAGGCACGATGTAACTGTTGACAAATAATATTCCACTAAAAATATACACTACACGTCTGGTGTGACACAGAAAACACTCGGAGTGAGTAAAAGTGGAACAAATTCCCGTCTTTGCTCAGTAATTAGGTGATCACAGGGAAACCTTCCAGGACACAAAATCATTTGTACGGTGAGATTTTTGTAATATCACAGAAAGATTCAATCACCCCCAGATTCAATTTGACAGTTTATTTCAAAGTGATTAGGAGTAACTCAAGGGATGGTCCTGTCAGACTTCATAATGAGGCAAGGCTAAATGCTAATTCAGTTTGAGTGTTAGGAGAAAGATACTGTGTGACCTTAAAGCTTTCCAATCAAAACCGCGCAGTTGAGAGACTCCCAGGTATAGGAAACACGACAGACAGCAATCAGGTCTGTGAGCGGAAGACCGAACGACAGAATCACCGAGCCTGGGGTCACGTCTGAGAAAGTGCAGCCGGCAAAGTAAATTAAAGTACGTGAAATAGAAAAGTGAAAGGGCAGAATGTGGAAAACAGCGGCGCGCGAGGGAGGAAGCCTGAGAGGAGCGGTGAGAGCGAGAGGCAGAGCTGGAAGAAGGTCAGGAGGTGGAAATAAAGAGGTGAAGGAGACGCAGGCTGAGGAGGAGGTGTAGGTTCTACCTGCTGCTCATTAGCCCCCAGGCAGAAAGTTTACTCCTTCTTCTTTGACTCGAATCATGTCCTGTATTTTAAACACAAATGTGAAACAAGAATAGAAGCACGTGTCTCAAGAGCCCAAAGGCAACGGTCACAGGAAGTGTGTGTGTGTGTGTGTGTATGTTTATGTGTGTGTACTTTAAAACCTTAAATCTCTACCAAATGTTTTGGGTTATTTTGATTTATTTTAACAACATCTAGCAACAAATTCTATAAAGGGAACCTATGGTTGAACTCATAGCTAACACCTTTAACATCAAATAAGAGATGAGTCCTTTATTTGTCCTACAGTTTAATTCAACCCACTTTTGTGTCGACTTTCTTCTATCACATGAGTTTTCAAAGTCCGACACTGTGGGCCTCCTTCCAAAAACCTACTGTTCGTGCTCAGACACAGCACTCACCTTTCCGTTCCACACTTTTACATCTTGGCTCTGTTAGGTCAACACGAGGAACACTGTATATGGACTGCGTTCGTACATTTATGAAATCATTACAATTCTTTCTGTCCTTGTTCAAGTAGAAGCCTTAAATCCTACAGTTACATGTGACAGTCACACCGTAACATCGCACTGTAGACTCTAGTGCCGATGTGACACTAGGACGATTGACACTAGAGCAGGCGTGGGCAAACCTTTTGACTCATGGGACACAGCTGTCCTAGAATTGAAGGGGGGGGGGGTCGGGTCAGGAGCAGAAAGATGGAGGGTTCGTGTGAACTAAGATAAATGGCATGAAAAAGTCATGCATAAAGGGTAGAATGCTAAAATGCTTTTAACATTTTCTATGCCATCTATTGGGGACATATGGGTATTGCAGGGAAAAGGCAGAAGTATAATGATGATATAAATGAATTATATAATTTAGATTAAACAGCTGAAGGGGCTGAACTGAGATATAGATGATAGATGGTGAAATGGTGGTTAGAAAGTATTTTCTCGTTCCAGTCAGATGCCACGTTCTGATTGTGATGACAAATGGTGAGATGCCTTGCCTCTGGAGGAGGGTTCAAAGCTCACACCCCTGAAGGTGAGATGCTGGCAGTTCTGCTGCCTGATCTGATAACCTGGGTGCTCTAAATCAAGAGCGAGAAGTTGACAAATGTCAGTGCGCCTGCATGCAGGGCAGCTGCTGGACAGATCCGTGCAGTCACCTGCACACGGCGGCGTTATCACTCTGTGGCACTGAATGCTAAACAAGAACATTACATTCAGTTTTGAGAGGGACCTCTGATGCAACCCCAGGCTCCGTGCTGTAATTGCACACTTAAATAAAAACCTGGGGTTTTATGGCTGAGGCTTTTACGGACACGTCTTTGCCCTCGCCCTTGTCCATGCAATCATCATCCAGCAGGATAATAGCAGCAGTCTTCCATGCAGTACATCCTTAAGACCCTCTTCTCAAGGTCAACCACTATCCTCGTTCTCTCCCCCTCTGTCCCTCTCTCTCTCCCTCACACACACATGCACACACAGATCAAAAGCCCCTTCAACACACACAGAGTCCTCTCTAGCTCCAGTCACCAATCAAACCCCTCCTTCACGATGCGGCCAATCATTGCTGCTTTTCCGCCTTAACACATCTCCTCGCCTCATCACACTTATCCCTCTCTGCAGCGCACCATAAAAGCTTTTACACAACCTGTGTCTTATTTCTCTGTGCTTTGGCCATCGGCGGCAGCAGCTATGATAACACTCAGCGAGGTTGCTGCAGAAATCTGGGAAGGCAGTGGGAAGAAAAAGTGCAAAACAAAGAAGGGAGAGACGAGCTGGGCTGGAAAATACCGTACTGAAAGATTTGATTTGTGTATTTGTTTTTATTCTAAATGAATGGTTCAGACCAGAGGTGAAAAACTACAAATACTACAAATTCTGCCAGTATATACTGGCGGGTCAACTGTACTACACATTAGATATAATATCGAGGGCCAAATATAATTACACTGCGGGCCAGATTTGGCCCCCAGGCCTGAGTTTGACTATGGTTCAGATGTTCATTTTAAAAAGGAACAAATCATTTTCCAGAGCAGCTTATATTTTCCTGGCTTTCTTCGCTCTCTTTCAGCAGGTGCCCGAAAATCACTTTCCGGTGGTGTCATCTCACTGAGTAAAGACATTGGCAATCAGAACCTGTCAGCAGAGGCAAAACATTTTCACCCACTACCTCCTAATCTTCTGTCACCATCTCCGCTCTTTTTGTTCTAAGATTCCGTTGTTATCGCCTCAATCTCCCTGCATCCTCTTGTCCTTCTCCTCGGTGAACCCTCGTCTCGTCTCGGCTCGTCTCCCTTCTGTCTTTCTGACATTGGTTCTATCATCTTGGCAGCAGTGATTCTCCGCTTCAGGTAGCTGTCAGACCGTTCACTCTGACATGCTGTAGTATATATGTAAATGGAACTGCTGAGAAGTTGCAAAAGTATACTTTAAAAGTATAAGAGTGGAGACAAATTCTGTCAGGAAAGTCAGCGATGCAAGAGGGTTTCTGGCGGCCTGGCAAATCTCTCTAGTATCTGAAGCCAACAACAACTTCACCATACGCTTGGAGCTCCGAGCCTGCCAGCTCCGACTGGGGCTTCTGTTCACTTACTCAGGAAGACAGGACTGTCGACAATTCCGAAGTTTGGAATCCAAACTATTTAATAAGGAGCAGTTAATAATGAGCTGATTGCAACTTCATGTGATTAAAGGCAAATTTGTCTGCAGGGGAGCTGGAGCCACTGTCAACGAAAACCAGGTTTAAGGTCCGTGGTACTGCTGAGGCAGGGATTCTGAAGCAGCAAATGGTTGATCTTAAACGTCTCATGCTGTACCTTTATTTACTCTAGCATTTGGAAGACTGGAGAGACTGGAAATGTATCAAAGCCATTACACTCTATCTCAGTCTACCTCGGAATTCCAAGCTTTCAGTGACAGTACGGTACAAACTCAGTCTTCTTCTGCTGCTTCACTTAAAAAAAACCCAAAACAAAACAAGAGACTAAGTCCATTGATAATATAGGGTTTATAAATCTACAGCGGCAGTGACAGTAACCACCTGTGCCGAGGTCAAACTCTCCTTCTGTGTTCAGGCAACTATAAGTAATGCTTGAAAATCACTACCCATCATTCACTTTGATTGCAGAATAGGTGGTCAGTAGACTGTTCAACCCTGCTGTCAAGGGAGGCAGGGTCAGGTAACGGTAATAGCTTACAGCCAAGGAATGACACCGACCACAGAAGGGGAGGAACAGAGGGAGAGGTGACAGGTTGTGATTGCAAATAGAGAAGGAAGAAAAATGGAGTGAAAAGAGTAAAAGATGTGGAGGGGGGAGGAGGGGAGGAGGGGAGGAGGGGAGGTCTGGGGGCCGGAACAGGAGCCGGAGCAGGAGCCGGAGCCGTCTGGCTTTGATACACCTTATGCAAACCTGCTGTCATGAACCATATGCACTCTGCCACGATGTGACATAACACATGGGCACACATGTCATGTTCCCACTGATCCCACGTCCTGCAGCGGAGCACGGCTAAACATGTCTCAGAGCAGAGTGCGACGCAAAACAAACCTGTGCTGTTTTTGTTTTTTTTTCAACACAAGTTAGGCTCAAGACCGAGGGCTGTCTGCAGGGTAACACGTAGAGCATAAAAGTTAATGGAATGACAGTGGAAAATGTGTGACGTTCCAAAATGTATTCCTATTCATCATCACTCTGACGGCTCAGGAAAGCCATTATGAAATGCCTCTGGTTTACATTCATGCTGTAATCAGATGATAAAACACACACACACACACACACAGCTCCTCTTCGTCTTTATTCCCTCACAGTGAGGGCAAACGCAGAGAGACCTGTCAGGGTTGGTTGTCATCATGTCCAAGCTCTGCAAACGTGCACTGTTGCATCCAGCCATGTGTGAGGGAGAACCGCAGCAACAACTGTACAAGTCAACATGTACACTACGTGTGTGTGTGTGTGTGTGTGTGTTGTATGACTTGCACTTACCCAGGACTGAAGCGTGGTCCTTGATGCCCCCTCATCTGTCCAGCTGTGTGTGTGTGTGTGTGTGTGGGTCTATTCTCGTCTCCTCTCTCTGTCCAGAACTTGCAGACACAGCTCTACACGTGCCAGCTCTCCACTCCTCAGGTTCCCCCTCAGTCTGTCAGACTCGGGCATCAGCAGCTGTACAAAATCTGCCACTCGTCCCCCTCCTCCTCCTCGTCCCCCTCCTCCTCTCTCCTCCTCCTCCTCTCGCTCCTTCTTCACCCTGGATCCAGTGGGCTTGCTTCTCTGTAAACACTTGTTAGTTACGCCACCCCCCCTTTTTTCCTAAAAAAAAAACAAACAAAAGAAGCTCAAAGCACGGGGCGAGAGGAGAAAGGGAATCTGGATTTTCCCGCTCCTCAGGACTGTGCTCCTCAGCCAGTCAAAGCTGCCTGCTTCTCCCCCAGTGTAGATGTGGGATGATGGAGCGTGCCGTTTTCCTCTCCCTCACTCTCAGCCTCTCTCTCTCTCTCTCTCTCACCCCCTCTCCCCTCTGTGATGCTGCTCCGTTTGGATATTTCAGCTAGCTGCGGGCATGCTGCTAAGGGAGCGTCTCTAAACAGGGATGGAGGAATATATCTGGAAAAAAAATGAGAGTACAGATAAGTATATATATATATATATAAGTGTCCAGTTACAGTTCACTGCTCCAAAGGTCACATTTTTTCATGAAGATATCAGTGCAGCCAGTATATCTTTTTCCTAACACCCAAACACTTCATCTTGGTTTTTTTCCAAACTTATAACTACCTGTGTAGGTTTTAAAATACCTTGAAATACCAGCTCCACTGAGAGATCATTTGTTGGTTTAGTAGCTTTTTTATTAAAATTGCAAATATATCTCCGTAGGTGTAGTGACTGTTTATAGCTGTCATCACAGTGGGAGACAAGTGTGAAGATATTGGCTACGGATCGGCGAATTTATAACCAACAACAGCCAAGAGACGAGCTCCCGTCTCAAAGCTCCATTTTTGGGAAGACTTTCATTCTCGCTGACATTTAGGACAGAACACGATGACATTTGAGTTGTGAGAGTATGTGGGATGTGGGTCAGACCGCAGGCATGGCGGATTACACAGAGTACAAGGAGAAACAAAGTAAATGTGGTAAAAGTCAAACAAAAACAAAAGAAAAATGATATACATATACATATAAGGTAAGACACTATCTTTGATGAACGTAACTGTTTTGTCACACAAATGATTCATGTTCACACATACATCTCTTCGTCACCTAACGTTCAGAATGCACGCAAATGAGCTCCAGAGTCTGAACAGTTTCTCAAAGAGATGAGACAGAAATTTAAATTTTGACTCTGCAAACAGCGCACAACACCCACACCAGGCTGCCAGCTCCCTGCTTGATTAATGTCAAATTAATCAGACTCTCCGTTAAAGCTGCATTCGACACCTTCTCTCCACTTCTCAGACCTGCAGGAGGGGAGAACTTTAAGAGCCAGGTGGAATTACACGAGCTCGATGTGGTCACACGCAAAAATATCACACATTCTCGTGTGACCCGAGCTCCGGTCGTGTAACTCTACACGAAGAATGTCAGTCTCAAAGTCTGAAACATTAAGCTGTTACGTATGACGAACGAGCTCAGAGTGATGAGGGCAGAATCTCCAATATTTCTGTTCATTCTGTTCATCTCATTTTCTTGTCCATGAGATATTGAATGAAACCAAAGGAAGTGAAACTTTCTGTTATAAAAGACCGACTTTGAGGAATGGAAAAAATATATCAGTGGTGCATGGGGCCTTAACTTTTACACTAGAGGTGCAATAAAAAAGACCAGGGCTCCATGGCCAGTGATAAATCTGAATAAGTGAAGCCGTAACTCATACAGAACTGTCTGCTCAGTGCATGTCCTGCTGCGGTGCAAAATAACAGCCCCAAATACAGAAAAGGGGAAGACTTTTCCACTTTTTTTATCATTATCTAAAATAGTTTTGTCTAAAAATGCTCAGAAATATTAAGGTCAAATATTTGTCTTCTCCGTTTATTAAGCCTGATTCAATCCCAGTGTTGTGGATGTGAGCTATGGCCTACATTTAGATGATTCATTACAACATTTTTATGTTTCAATATATACAGCACATCAATGCTGGATATTCCTCCTAATAAAGTCAGGACAAGATTTTTTAATTAATGCAAACATACATTTGTGAAAGAAGCATCACAGAATCAGAGCTGGAATTCCAGCATCAACAACAACAACAACAACAGTGACAACAGGAAGTATAGAAGGACCAACCAGAGCAACGATTAGAAAAGGTGTGACCCAACAGAGACAGAGTGATATCCAGTTCATATATATACCAGGTGAGATGAGTGAGACTAATTAACAGAGTGCACAGGTGATCGTCATGAAACTAATTAACCCAGCAGAGACAGGCCTGACAATTACACTCTGTTGAATCATTTCAAACTCCAACAGTTGAATCTCTTCTTTTCCCCCTGAAAATATGTGATAATAAAATTAATAAAATCAAATTTAATCCTTAGACTTTACAAACACATAACATATATGATTTTGGTCACTCCTTGTTGGTCATGTTAGTGAAAATGAGGGTTAAATCTCAGCAAACCACCACAGTAGTACAGTTTAACGTCACACAGATTCTTCATTTTCATCCATTTAAACATATTACAAAATAAAACAGAAACTAACATATTAAACTACACATGATTATACATTATAATTTAATAGTGCATATAGTTCTCCTTTGTTGTTAGCAGTAGCCCCCTTTAAAGATAAATATGTATCTGTAGCTGTACCTGTTAGTTGAGGCGTTTCACTCACTTCCTGTTGCAGCAGTGTGAAGCACATGGCTCCTTCCACAGGTGCAGGGCCTGATCATGTGACCTCCTCAGTGTCATGACATTGATGCAGTTCAGAGAGGACTTCAGGCTGAAGATAAACCTGTTCCTTCTGCTGCTGTTAATGAATCAACAAAGTCATATATGACGTTGTACTCTGTGACATTGTCACTAAGTGGCGTTTGACTCAGGGACGCTGTGGACGCCGGGGGGGTCAGACGGAAACATTTTATCAGTGTTTTCACCATAATAAACCGACGGCACCGCTGCTCAGCCCGTGGCCTCAGATAGCACGGCTTATTTACTGCTCTCCCTGCACCTGAGTCGGCCTTGACATGACGGCTAATAACTTTGTTTTCTGTGCAGCCCCGCGCAAAAAAAAAAAAAAGTTTTTTGTCCTCTCTTGTTAACCTATCACTCTCTCTCTCTCTCTCTCTCTCTCTCTCTCTCTCTGCCTGGTTACAAGGAAATATCGCCCATGACACATCCATTAACAGCAGAATGAAGGATGAGAGGAATAACGTGCAGCTGTGTGATGAGGAGTAAACCTCTTCGGCACGCTGATGTACGCGGCGGGGATTCTCACATGATTCCCAGCATCGAATCAAGGAGAGAATGAAGTGGAAGAGGCCCAGTTATTTGAATTTGAATAAATTAATTTAGATATGTAGAAATAGTGCCGGTTGATTTGATTCTACGTGAGGGAAAAGGCAGGAGACACTGAAAGACCCTCCCACTGCTAGGATCTGACTAAATGGTGACATTGTGACGTTCTCAATCAAAAACAAAAAAATGTCACCAAAAACAAAAAAATGTAGGTGAAACTGAATGATGTATAAGAAAACTAACATTATAACAGCATTTTGACATTGTTTGCAATTCAATGTGTCAATGTGTGTGTGCGCGTGAGTGTGTGTGTGAGGAGGTGGATGTTAGTGAGGGTCTTATCAGTGGAAACAGACCTAGAACGTGAGCAGGGTGGAGCAGCACGAGGATGTGAAAGGGGGGGTTGTTGGGGGAGGCCGGGGTGGAGAGTGAGCGTTTACAGTGAAATTGGAGGATAAGGAAGGAAATGGGGAGAGTGAGAGCACACAGAGCTGAGAAGATGGACACACGGACACACGGACGGTCTCACTGAGGGACAATGAATAAGGGATTTGAATTATATGAAGTAGAAGAAATGCTGAAAGCGTAGCAGGATGTTATCAGGGTGTTTGTCTTTAACGAATGGCTGTTGGTTTAAAATGTGGGGGGGGCGGGGGCACGCTTTGACAATCACAAGGGAGCTTGGGAGACAGAAATATTCAAGGCACAGTATCTGACAGAGTGTTTTTGACATATTTGACTTTTGTCAGTGTTGAACAGTGGCTGCAGCGCCCCCTTCTGTTTGTTAGATGTCCGCCATTAACCAACAGCAGTAACGTTGTCTGGATGGAACGTCGCCACGGGTCCCACATATTTGTTAATAAGAAGGAGAGACATTGTGGGAATTCATTCCCAGCTTTACATGAACTGCTGCCGACCTACAGTGATTTTATGTGCAGCAGATAAACTTGCCTGAAGACATAAATATGCTGCACATTATGTTGGGGATTATTGGTATCACTGTCAGAAATCACTGCTGCTGAGCACTGAGAAATAAAAAAGGAGAAAAAATATCAGTTTAAATGGAAGAATAGGAAACATAAAATAAAATAAATTCAAAACTTTCTGTTTCTCTTATTATGTCAGGTTTTCCTCAGACCAGCGACTGGGTGTATGTGTGGAAGGAGAGATCAAAATAATAAATAATAATAAATAATTATTGCGTATATATTGTAAATATAAGTATTACTTTATGTCATGCACTTCATTTCTTTAGTTGTTGCGTTGTCATTTTTAAAGTAGTTTGTGGGGAAAAAAAATCCTGGTACCTGATACCATTTATCCATGACCCTGTACAGGTCCCTCACCCCCGTGTTTGGAACACCATACCACAAGAGTTGCTTAAATTCACCTGCATGGTGTTAAAGCTATTCAAAGTAGAAAAAAAACACCCCAATATCATCCAGAGAAACTGCGACATGCTCCAGAGATTGTGTGATTTTTCATCTCTGAAAAAGCTTTATCGTCCTCTTGGAAACACATACGAGGCGCTTCAGTAACATTAATTCCACCATTGTCCTCGGCCAGCCTTCGGACATGTTTCTTTTATTAGTTTAATGATCTCAGCAGCAAGGGTAAGACTTTTATACAATCTTTACTTTTTCTGATGTTGTTAATCTCCTCAGACGACTCATAATGAAGAATAATGGCTCCATTCCACCGTGTTGTTAGGGTTTAATGAAGAATAACGGCTCCATTCCACCGTGTTGTTAGGGTTCCAGGAGAACAAAAACAGATTTTATTCTAAAACTTTCTTAACTACCGTCTACAAGGCAGAGGCTTCATAGAAAGGGCCAGTTGGAAACTGGATGACGTTGGTTACACCTTCTTCCCAAGCCGTTTATATTTCACAGTTTAAGTGAACTGTTTTCATGGCTTCTTTCCAACCTATTTGAATTCCATGAATAAGTCATCGACAGCCATTCATTTGTTGTTTTTAGTGTTAGAACAATCCCATCACTCAAGCTCCACTCCATCCTCGCCGGCCGGTGGCGGTCGTTACGATACTGTATATTTCCCCATACTGTTGACAGAAGATGGATAGGAAAGAAACACTGGGAAAAAAAACACGAAGAATAATCGTCTCTGGACGAGAAAGACAGAGCGTGTGTCTGGAAGAGACGATAGCAGGATGATGGAGAAACCGAGGGAGAGATGCTCGCTGTGTGTGTGTGTGTGTGTGTGTAAGAGAGATGGAGTAAGCACATAAATTAAGAGATATGGAGATATGAAAGCAGAGGTCTGGCAAAAATCAATACAGCCATGAGTGTGGAGGGGGGGGGGGGGGGGGGGGTCACATAAACAAAGAGAGAGAGAGATAGAACAGCTGATGCTCCAGCTTCATACTCCACAGAGAGTAAACGTCTGAACCCAAAGTAAATGAGTCTAAACTGAGGTCACAGACCAAACACACTGATTCTCTGACATTCACCATGTTTATCACCATTACTGACACTCACTGATGTATGGTGTATGATGAATAAATGCCTGTATTAACTGCAGCGTCGACACAGCTCTGAGACACTGTTTTCCTTATCACAGACTGTACATGATACTGTTGATACATGATACATGCTGTTTAAAACCTCACAGAAATAAAAGAAAACATCACAAACCATTATCTTACAGCCCAACTTTGGGTTTTGGTACAATGTGTTGCTCCTGTCTGTATGAGCTCTCTCATCTCTCTGGAGGTTTCCTGTGTTTGATCACTTCCTGCCTACTTTTAGTTTTATGAAGCCTCAGGTTACAAATCCTAGGATTGGCCTGGGGCTGATGTCGATCCCTCTACAGTGGGTTTGACTGATGTGCACCAGAGGATTTAAGAGAAATATTAGTAAAAGATGAAAATAAAGTGTAGAAAAAGTATTACAGGGTACTACACTATATTACCAAAAGTATTCGCTCACCCATTCAAATGATCAGAATCAGGTGTCCTAATCCCTTGGCCTGGCCACAGGTGTATTCTGGTCCAGAGGAGCAGAGAGAACCATGACAATGAAGATGATGGAGGGGTGAGAATGGCAAAGGGAAGGGATGATAGAGAGAAAATGAGAGAGAGCAATGAGAATGAAAGAGCGAGATGATGTGAGGAGAGCTGTTGTTTGTCCTCGGGCTGCTCTCTTGGAGGAAGGACAAGGATGTGGGGGTGGTTAGCAACATTTACTGACACAAACCGGGAGAGTGTGTTTGTATTCACGTATTTCGACAGCAGCCAGCCACCAATGATATTACATAAGAGTGATCAAACCAGAAGAAACCATGGAAACGCTAGTCCAACAACTACAGTCTTTATATGGAGACAAAAAGTTGTAAAAAATGTCACCCTTAATCATTCAATCCTAGTGTTATTTTACTGCAGTGAGCAAGATGAGCTTTAAGCCAAAAAGCCGAGGAGGCATTATTGTTATCGTGCCACTGCAGAGCACGCTGCGCTTAGTCAGAAAATACCTGGCGGGAACAGAGACAGCCACGGGCACGGCTTCTCCAGTTGGAGCACATATCCAGTCTGAGGCCGAGGCATCGTGGACTAGAGATCAGAGCGCCTGGGTCGGTGTCCCGAATGATTCTGCAGCTGAAAATTCATCGTCCATAGCTGTCTGGATCCACAGCTTAGGAGAGGATGAGGGGGGGATAAAGAGGCAGCCTCAGAGAATGCTGTGTCACCATACACAGCTTAAAAGCTCATTTACATCTGTTTCACCCCGACAAAGGCCTCAACTGGTCCCAGCCTGTCCTAAATACCAGGTGTCCACCTGTCTCTTGTCTCCGACCTACAGACGCTCAGGCTGGTCGTCCACCAGGCCGTGTGTCAGCAGTGTGACGGAGTCGCAGCATATGTACGGAGAGCCTTCATCTGTCAGTATCACACTGTTTATGTTGCACACACAGACACAGGCTACTGAGGCTGATTCAGATTCAGAAACACAGCTGAACATACTAAACTGCATTTGAACATCAGACTTCCAGAAGATTTCTAGAGGGAAAAATTGTAAACTTTATGGCCTTTGCACAGCACAAACTTTAACGTCCTGTTACTTCTAAACCAGGGTCTGTCCTGGTACATACAGCAGCTGTAATTGTCAGGACTCCTGTGGGACCCTGCAGGCCTCGGCATCAAATTAGCAGCTTAGAACAAGTGTCAGCAAACAGACCCTGAGAGGCCATTTATACAAAAATGAGACTTTAGTGTTAAATCTGCAGTTCTCTTGGGGGCGCTGCACAGAGAGCAGCGGCAGAACTGCAACCTAAGCACATGTAAGATGCCAGTTGTAAAGGTATCATTATTTATTATTTTAAAGTCTTAGGAGGTGCAGTTTCTTAGCAGTGTTACTTCCCTTTAATCGAAGAGAGCTCAAATGAGGGATTCAAACCATCAGAAGGCATCAATAGAGTCAATAGATCACATTTACTACTATCAATATTAATTTAACAATTGATGTAACTTGTACCACAAGCATTTAGATCTGTGTTTCGAAGCAGGAGAATTCAATTTCAATCACAGATAAAACAAAAATCAGGATCTGACTGTTGGTAAAAGTGAAGAAAAGACAACAGACAATGCTACTTAAGGTGGATGCAACAATATAGAGTTAAAACTGAGCCTAACTTCAGGTGGATGTAGGTGCTGTCAATCAATGGAAACCAGACAAAGACATGGACCCCCGGCCCTGACTTTCAAAAGAATTCTCAACAAGTATGCCTACGAGAACACCCACCATTGAACACTCAGAGAGTTGAAAACATCCTCTTGTTGTGATGGAACAGATTCCATTCA